AAAAAAAAAAAAAAAAAAAAAAAAAAAAACTAGGTACGAATCCAGATATCCGGCAGACCAATTTTATCCGGAATTTTCAATCCGGATGAAATTTCCAGATTAATTCCGGATATGTAAAATCCGGCCCTGTGCAAAATAATTTTTTTTTACCGAAAAACAAAATTAAAAAAACTCTGGAAAAAAAATATGTTGTTCATATCAATGATATGAACAACTTTTGGCTTGAGGCCATCTTTGATTACTCAACAGATATGAAGATACAAAATAAAGAAGAATAAGAAAATAATATTTAGGTAAAAAATTATAGAATGAATTAAGCATCCCCCCTCTAAACCCTTTTTTTTTCCTATCTTATCCCCTTTGAACCCTTCCAGGTCCTATCAAGCTTTTCATGAAATAGGAACGTAGCTCTATTGTATTTTGCATGCGCAATATCACTTTTTTTTTTTTTTCTTTTTTTTTAGGCATTTTTTTTAATCATCCGGATTTCCGGATGATTCTACCCCCCGATCATCCGGCCAGATAATCCGACCAGATTATCCGGTCAGATAACCCATGCTACCTAGCAAAAAAGGACAGCATTTCGTTACAATCGGAACGATACAGAGAAAGAAGATTGGCATGGCCTCTGCGCAAGGACGACAGACACGACACACATATATGATAAAGATTGGAAAGATATATGCCCCCTACGCAAGAATGGCACGCATACATCGAGAAATGGTCAAATTTTTCAAGGCACAGAAAAAAAAAAAGAAAAAAAAAGGAGGAGGAGGAGGGGGAGTAGACGTGGCGGCAGAGAAGGAGAGAAGGAGGATGATGACGGGGAGGAGGGGAGGACGAAGCCGACAGGGAGGAGGGGAGGACGAAGCCGACGGGGAGGAGGGGAGGACGAAGACGACGAGGAGGAGGGGAGGACGAAGACGACGGGGAGGAGGGGAGGACGAAGCCGACAGGGAGGGGAGGACGAAGCCGACGGGGAGGAGGGGAGGAGGACAAAGACGGGGAGGAGGGGAGGAGGATGACGACAGGGAGGAGGGGAGGAGGATGACGACGGGGAGGAGGGGAGGACGAAGCCGACGGGGAGGAGGGGAGGAAGAAGACGACGGGGGGGAGGGGAGGACGAGGCCGACGGGCAAAGATCTGCTCTACCCC